TGGGAAATGAGGATTCTGATCAGTTAGCCTTATTAGCCAAACTTGCGCTTTCTAAACACGATAATCGCCCCCTTCCTTCATCGCTTCGCTTTGATACTGGATCTAAATTTGGAGCACCTAACGAAGACGAGGTTGACTCTAAAAACCGTAATAAGAAAGATGATCATTCTGTTCAATTTAATTCCCAGCTATCAATCGTTCGATGTCCTTCAGTCATAATCAGCTCACCCCGTATTATTTCTGGCCCTGGAACTGCTACCACAGCTTCTTCTCTTTTGTCGTCGCACAACAGAACGTATTTACTTTCGTCTAATCGATCTGGTCAGAACGTTCCACTCCACGTGCAACGCATTGGTCAGCCCGGCGCTTCGCACATTTTGCTTAGACCACAGACTGCTTTTATTTCAAATGTCAGCGGAAGAAGACTCACACCCTTTACATCCAACATTAACATACGTTGTATTTGCGGTTTTACTCACGATGATGGTTGTCTTGTTCAATGCGACACCTGCAAGTAAGTGTTCATATCTCACTCCTATACACCATCGATTTAATATTATATTTTGAATTGCTTGAATTTTTATTTTAGAATTTGGCAGCATGGAGAATGTGTTACGGCTTATCCGTCGACCCCCCTACCTTCAATTTATTTCTGCGAACTTTGCAATCCTAGAACTTTGCGCGTGGCTGAAGCTATTTCTCTCCAACGTCGCAAGCTTAATGTATCTGGTAGCAATTCTTCCTCGTTCATTTGTCCAAAAGGGCCTTCCTTACCTAGCTTTCGTCAACCCAACGGACAGTATCGTCCGGGAACTAACAGCTCATCCTCTCTTCCAGCGGCAAGCCGAATCTTAGTGGCTTCGGCTGGTACGCCTGGCTCTGCTCGTTCTGGATCTGTCCAAGTGCGTTTAACTGCACAACCCTTAGCTTCTGCTTCAGAGGGCCTTCTTCGGCAACGAAAGCCTACTAATAACCAAACTACTGAATATGCATTCTTTGCCTCTCAAACCGCGCATGGAATTCAAGGCCATTATTATCGCTTAGGGCTTGACCGTCATAGCTCCCTGCGTCACGTGGCCTCTCGTGCGATTGGTATCTCTGGCGCGTCTCTAACTGCTCCCCAATCTAGAACTTCAAAGCGAAAACAGGATCTGTACAACTGTGTTGCAGCACGTGAGTCATTTGGTGGGTATCTGTTAATTTGTGTAATTTTTTACAGCTTATATATATATATATATATA